AAAATCATAAATTTTACCTTTTTATTCTTCTTTTAAAATTATTATAGACTTTTTTTTTTTTTTTTTTGCAGTTTTTGGCTGGGGCTGGGTTTGAACCCTCAACCTCCGGTATACAGGGCTGGTGCCCTACTCCTTTGAGCCACAGGAGCTGCCCCACTCACTTATTCTTAATTACTATTCAGAACAAGTCATTAAACATCTCATCAGTATAGTATGAGCAGACAAGATTCATCTCTACCTGAACTACATGAATCCACCTTCTCGTTCCCACTCTCCTATTCCTTTTTCCCACAGCTCACATATGCACTTGGAGGTGGCTTTCCTGGCACAACTGATGGCTCCTTTCCAACATAACAGGATGAGAAAAGAGAGTAAAACTGAGATGTAGAAGGAAAAGTATGGAAGGCTTAGCCAGAGAAGGTGAAGAGCTGAAATAACAAAGAACAGTCTGGGCATGGCAAGGGAGGAGAGGAGGAGATGAGCAGTAGAAGGAGGCTTTGCAAAGAGGTCCGAGAGAGCGTGCGTTTGGGGGTTGGCATAGGAGACGCTCTGGGATAGTTGTGGGTGGCCGAGACTACAGCGTGTGGAACGGGGTGTGATGAGGGTTTCTGGTTTCTTGCCTTGGTCCCTTCAGCGTTCCTACAGAGATGAAGTAGAGAATAGCTACCTTTTTGGCTTGCTAAACTGTGGTATTTGTGTACCATGGAGTACTACAACCGTGAGAAGGAAGGATGGAGACTTTACATCTTTTGTGTTTACCTGGCTGGAGTTGAAGAACAGTCTCCTTAGTAAAGTAGCTCAAGACTGGAAACAAGCATCCCATGTACTCGATACTAATTTGAAACCAGTAGATGAACAGTTATAGGCCCACACCAGAGAAAAATCACAAATTCAAGTAAGGGGAGAGGGCCAGGAGGAGGGGAATCAGGAAGCTCCCACCTAGTGGGTACAATGTAGGGGTGAAGGGCCCAACTCAACTCACAGGCACCTAACAGATGCAAACAATGTAACCAAATTGTATGCACCTTATATTAATCTGAAATAAAAAAATAAAAGCCATCATAGCTGATGTGTAAAAAAAAATAGCCATCTTTTCTATTACTTTTCAAAATTTATTTTTTTAAGTTATTTCTTTGTTGCCCGACCATGCTTCTTCATAAGTAATTCAGTGCAGAAATGGAACCAGGAGTTGTCCAAGAAGTTTTTAGGGTTGTCCACGTAACAAATACTCAGAATTTGGTGTGCACACACCACGGCTCTCTGCAGATACTTTGCAAAAAAGAAAAAGGAGGATCATTGTTTCTTACCCCATGACCCACTTCTCATTTTCGAGACTTCCTTTTTCTCCAGTCTCCAGGCACCCAGAAGGAATACAAAAGCAGCTTGGGAATTTCTGCCAATGATGCCTTTTCATAAATACAAACATCTGTTAACTACCTGCTACGTGACAAGCAAAAATAAATAGAACGTGGCCCTAACGTGAAGGGGTGGGATGCTAATGGCTGGGCTGCACTACTAGCAAACCATGAGAGCAGTGCAGTCAGTGCCAGGCCGGAGGCAGAGCTTCTAGGAGCTCCACGGGGCCACAGAGGGCGAAACACTGACTCTGCTTCCATAGTCTCGGGAGGCCTCTGGGAAAAGCTGAGGCTTAAAGGAAAAGTCGGAGTTTGCCACCGGACAGAGTAGAGGAGGGAGTGGGGACTTCTGGCAATAGGAGCAGCCCAGTTAAGATGCAGAGGAGCAAAGAGTGTGGCCCCAGCAGGAGCCTGCAGCAAAGGTGAGTGTGAGCAAAGGGAGTGGGCACTCAGGTGAGAACGCAGACAGGTGACATCTCAGAAGGCTCCATGTGCCATGCAAAGAAACGAAGGCCCAGATACTGTAAGCAACAGGGAGGAGGGTACTGAAGAATTATAACTGGGCAGGGATATGATCAACCCTTCACTTTAGAAATGTACTTCTGGTGGGGGAGGCTTAGAAGAGAGGCTGGACTTGGAGGACCAAGTAGGGACCACCATGGTCATATAGGAAAAGCAAAAACATGTATGAAAAAGAGACAGTGGCAGGAGAATAGAGAGGAGGGGTTCAGGCAAAGAGAGATCCTTTAGGGGTGGGAATGAAAGGATGAGAAATTTTAAATCAGATGAGATAGCAAAGAGAAAAGTTCTGGAATTATTCTTATATTCCTGCTCTGGGCAACTGGTTTGTATTCCTCATTGAATGAAATTGAGACCACAGGAACAAGTGAAGGTAACACACATAATTTGGGGGCTATGAAATGCAAGGACTCCCAGGAAGACCCAGCCAGGATGCCCAATGCTAAGAGGGACACCTGTCCTCTTCATCAGCGCCAACCTCCTCTGCAGGTAAAAGTGAGACGCACAAAGCATTAGTGCATGTGGGTAGGGCCGTGGGAGAAGTGCGTGCGTGTGGGCAGGCATGGTGGGCAGGCATGGTCAGTAAGTGACGCATACGTTGCTAATGAGGAGGTGTCACTTGTAGTAAATGAACAGTGCACAGATTTAGTATGAGTACATGTCAGGCTTGTGCCAAGTGCTCTAACCTGGATTAATCTTCTCTCTTGGCCAATCGTCACCCCCACACTTTACTTTTCTCCCAGGAAAAAGAGGCTATTAGGACCACTTGACAGCAATGAGGTATTAATGACAGGAAGCAAAAGATATTAAAGTCTAGTTTTTAGCTTTGGAGAGAGTTTTGCTGGCATCTCCCAGCAATGGCCAGATTAAGCTACTCTGAGGGCCAGAGATAGAAGAGCTGATTAGAAGGCAGCAGGCCAAATTATACTCATTTTATTGTGTGAAAGAGGTTTTCCTATACAGGCGTAATAGAAATTACCAACTGTTCTGATGGCCGAGACAGAGGCAGGGAGAGAGGGGGAGAGGCTGAGGGAGGGGGGAGTGAGTGAGGGAGAGAAAAAAGAATTTTAAAAGATCTACAATATTTGTATCTGGAGTGACACGCCAGAATCCACTGGTCTAAAATTAACTGAAGACTTGTTTCCATAATCTTTCCAACCGTTAATAACATGCTTCTCATTTCTCTCCGACTTGGCATCGTGCATATTTAAATTTGCATTTGAAATCTCCTGATAATTGGCATCAGGGTTTCTGATTGGAGGTAACTCACATCTTGTTTTGTCAGCCCTATGACCAATCCTCTCCTGCTACTCTAATTCTATTTGCTGATGGTTCAAAGGTAGTTTCTCCTTTTAAATCTTGAAACAAGCCATTTTATAATTTTCAGGTGCTAGTGAGTTAACATCTGGTTCCTTTTCCGTGAAGATTTCCAGGAAAAAAATAAGCAAAGTCTGTTCCTGGAACATAAAATCAAATGAAAGGGTATCCTGGGAGTGTCTCAGAACATTTCATAGAAATTAAATCCTGTACCTTCCAGGTTGACGTGCTGTGGTCCCCAAGGTGTGTTAGGCAGGTTCACCTGGGGAGCCACTCTGCGTCAGCCCTAGATTTCTAATATTTCCTGCCGGTTTACTTGCTGGAGGATCGAGGCAGGACTGGAATTAAGCCTGTTGCCTGAGAAGGTTTGCTTTCCAGGCTCTGATGCCTGAGAAGAGGACTTTTAACTCAAAGGTGTTGCCTGGACACCAGAGCAAGGATTCCCCGCCCCCACCCCACATTGAAGCTGTAGCTTCTCCAAAGTAATTTGGAGTGTTCGCACTGGGGGGGAAGAATGACTCACAAATTGAATAAACCATTAAGAGCATCATTGCTTAGTCACAAATGTGCTGTAAATGACGAACCAGAAAACCAAATTCTGGTCCTGGTCTGGCTGTCGACTGCCCGAGTCACCTGCGTCTCTTAAGTTCCAGGGTCTTCTAAAAACCGCGAGAGCGAATGTGCGTTGAGCACTTCCCGCGTTCTTTCGCGGAGCTGTTGTTAGCATTGTGGGTATTGACTCCAGCCACCCTCAGATTTCCAGGGTGGAGAATGACTATAATCGTCTCCATTTTCCAGGTGGGGAAACTGAGGCACAAAGAAGTGAAACAATCTGCCCAAGTCCACACGCTCAGTAAGGGTGGCACGGGCAGCTCTGGTGGGCACACTGTGCGCTGTCTGCCCCCACCCATGACGCGGCGTTACCTCCCACCAGGAAGGGAAGGGGCCGGGCCCTGAAGGCGCTTTCCGCCCCCCCAACCTGTTGGCATCCAGCCTCCCCTCATTCCTTCCATCTATGAGAACTTTCAGGAATGCGTCTTCACCATTAGGCCTAGAAGGTAGCATTGCAGGACTTGGTTTGTTTCCTGTGCCCCACAAGAATACTTATCAGGGTCATTCTTTTCTGAGCATGTGGGTTAAGTAAGAGCTCGGTGGTGGTGGGGCCTTGGAGAAAGGAAGCACCTGGAACGCTGGCTGCAGCAGCAGGCAGCGGGTGCAGGCTGCAAGCTCTCAGCCAGGTGACTCAGAGGGTCCACACTCAGTCAGGAGGAACAGCTGAGGCTGGGGCCGCATCTCAGGGCAGAACCTGGCTGGGGGCTGTGGGTCCCTAAAAGCCGCAGGGGCAGCAGCAAGAACAGCAGTAACAACAGGCCAAGTGCAGGCTGAGAAAGCGGCTGGGTGCCAGGAGGGGCCCACTGAGGCAGACTGCGGGGCGGGGAGGGAACAAACAGCGCTGGAGGGGCTGGAACAAAGGGGTCCAGGGATTCCCGGGAAATCACTGTCAGCAGCCCAGGAGCAGACAGAAACCGCTGGACTCAGCCCTGCCGTGGAAAAGAAGCCAGCGGCTGGCAGCCACCAAGAAGAGGAGGAAGTGGGAGATGCACAGCTTCCTGTCGAAAGAACGTTGATTGAAGACAAAGCTGGGTGGGGACTAGTCCCTGGCTGCAGCCTGCCACACACACAGCGCGGCCGCGGCAGCTCCTACACTGCTGGGCTGGGCTCCCGCGCACTCGGCTCTGTTCACAGGGAGCAGCCCTCTCCTGCGACCAGCCCGGAGCCAGGTAAAGCGAGCGTTTTCGCTGTAACTCAGGGAGATGACCGTCGCCTGTGGTTTTAGGGGCCGATTTCTAAGGGAAGATAGGGACGTTGCTTTAGGGTTGGGGAAAATGATTAGGGTGGGTTCTTGGGGAAGGGTTTTTGAGAATGACCAAATTGATGACACATTTGCTTTAAAAAAAATCAATGCTTAGCTTTGGTCCCTGGCCAGGACAACACGTTAAATGCAAGAAGCTGTTTGCATAGTTCCCTGGTGAGAAAGCTGGGCTGGGTGGAAATCCATTAGGGCTGATCTCAGCCGTGCAGTCCCGGGTCTGGGGTGGGTGTGAGGTGTTAATTGCGTTCTCCTTTTCACACTTTGCACGGAGTGGCTTCTGGTTTGCAGCATAAAGGCTGCAATTTGGCTTTAGAGGGGTTAAATCCTTTTGTACTTAGATTTTGCCAACAAAGGCTTGCATTGCGTGTGTGAGGGGCAGTATTTACCACCAAAACCAGTGTCTTCCTCCCTGGGCTCTGAGCAGCTGTGTTCAGGATAAGCTCAGATACAGCTACGGCTTGCCAGTAGGTCTCGTCCTGAAGTTGCATCCTTCTTCAAAGGAGTGTGGCCGGTTTAGAGACAGTGACTTGTCCAGAATCAGATACTGGTATATAATGGGGTTTATGTTTATATGCATTTTATTTATCTCTAGGTAAAGGTGGGTGTTAACTTCAGTAAGGAACAAAATAAAAGCACAGCCAGCTTCTTTGATAACCTGTATATCCTGCAGATAGACTGAAGTCGTAAAATGAAAACGTGCTTTTTATTCTTTGATTTTCTCAAGTAATGGATATTCTGAGTAAGAGCCCGGGACCATGACACGTTCCTATTTATGAAGGATGTGTAAAAGTATAATAAACAGGGCTAATGGATTCAGACTGAGATGGGGAGACCTCCTTTGACAGGATAGGCAGGAGAAAAGGTTTAATACTCTAGTGTAGCATAATTTAAAAAATAAGGCTTTTTGTCTTCAACAGGAAGTACAGTTAAACAATTCATAGTCATTGATGAAGGTTTTTGCGTAAGTTTTTATAGTGAAAAGAGATGATTTTTCGAAATAAAGAGAAAAGCTGCTTATAGTGGAGTAAAGATAATACAAATCTCGTACTTTGACGCTCATCCATTTTTAAAATCCAGGTGTTTAAATGCCACAGATGCCAGCTGAGGGTGCACGCACCTGCCCCCTCCTCGCTGGTCACCCTGCTCCATTGTAGAGGGCTCCAGAGCTTTTCTGAATGTCTTTATGAAATTGATTTGACTTCTCAACATGTGTGGGGTAGCAGCACGTTTTCAGAGCTAGGAAGCTTCTGTAGATACTAAGGAAAAGAATGCCTCTTTCTCGGAGGCTGCTCTCATGAAAATGAACCTGCACCACGCCTGAAGGAAGCAGCATGGCTGGTGTGGAAGCCGTGACGCTCCTCTGAAGGGGTCACTGATTCCTCCCACCAATGGCTGTACAAGTCACCCCACGGATTCCACAGTTCCACTCCCTACGTGCGTCCTAAAGTAAAATATGTAAAGGTGATCTTCCCAGAGAGAGGACGGAGACTAGATCTTAGGTCTGGACTCCCCTAAAGGAGTTTATGGTCAAGGTGTGTGTTAGGACGTGGAAAGTTGGGAGTGAGGGCTGGACAGACGGCCCTCGCTCACCGCAGGCTGCCCTCGCTAGCTGACGCCAACACCCTGCTTTGTTTGGGGATGTGCAGACTGTCCGTCCTCCTTGCTTGTCTGTGTGAGTTTCGCACGAGAGTAAGAAAATGAAACCTTGCCTATAAGCACGATCAGTCAAGAGGGTCCCCTGCCATCTTTCTGAAAACTACTAAGGGGCACTTATTGTCTGCACAGCACAAAACATGTTCTTAATTATGAAATTCCAGCTTTAAGCGGAACATTAGTAACGACAGATTAGGAACTATGATGGTAGAATGTTTAGGAAAAAGGATGTCTATCTCCCACGCTGTAAAAAAGACTGTTTCCACGGATTCTAGGCAAGTGGAATATTGAAAGACATGATGCTTTCACTCAGGGTATTCAGTGGCTTGTGAGAGAAACAACCAACACTGAAATTTTAATTGTGTGATTTTTTTTTCTGCCATATGGCCAATGGCTGGATGGAAACATGACTCCATTATTTCACGGCCAGCCCTGGGCCTCAGATGGTGGGCATGCAGTGAATGGGTTTGGCCGGCTGACTCTCTCAGCCTACATCAAAAGGCAGGCCCAACCCTTCAGTCTGAAAGCGTTGTCGTCTAAGTAGAAAGCCTATTCAGGAAGGGTTTCTGTGGGTAGAAGAAAAGACCACCAGAGAGAGAAAGGAACGTAGGCTTTGGAGTGGGGCGGAGCCGCCTTGGGGTCCTGCCACCAGCTCTTACTACTTGGCAGGGCACGTGAACTTGCGAACCTTAGTTTCTTCACTGCAAAGGACGGGTGAGTGGTTGATAATCAAGGCTTTGTTTTTGCTTTTCTGCGTGGATGAGTGAATGCCTGGTATGACAAAAGTCATTGTTTTTTGTTAATGGTGGTGGCAGAAAGAAAAGTTACCATGTTGTTGATCTTTGCCACTGCCTCACAGGTTTAAGGAGACTTATTTATTGTGATAGAATATATATAAAACTTCCCATTTTAACCATTTTACGTACAGAATTGTGTGGGATGAACTATATCCACATTGTCGTGTCACTGTCACCACCATCCAGCCACATAACTTTTATGCTTCGAAACAGAAGCTCACCTATTAAACAGTAACTCCCCGTGCCCCTCCTCCGAGCCCTCGGCAATCACTGTTACCCTTCTGTCTGTGACTTTGACTAAGCACCTCACATAAGTGGAATCATCCAATATTTGTCCTTTTGTAATGGACTTAGTTTGCTTAGCGTAATGTCTCAAAGATTCACTAGGTTGGAGCACATGTTAGAATGTTCTCCTTTTTAAGGCTGAATGATAATTGTGTTGTAGGTATATGTGCATGCCATGCTTTACCTGTCCTTCAATGGCCATTTGAGCCGCCTTTGGGGTGTACTGGGAATTACACTGCTATGGAAACAAATATAAAAGTATCTGTCAGGGTTCCTGCTTTCACTTCTTTTGGGTACCCAGAAGTGGAGCCGCTGGGACATGGTGACGACATTGTTCAATTTTTGGAGGATCTGCTGGTCTGCCCTGGTTTACAGTCCTGCCTGCAGTGAGCCAGGGTTCCAGTTTCCTCACTTGCTCACCCATCCTTACTTTCTGTGTTCTGTTTGCATATTTGATAATACCATCCTAAAGGATATGAAATGTGTCTCACCGTGGTTTTGATTTGCATGTCCCCAGCGATTGGTGATACTGAGCATCTTTTCCTGTGCTTATTATTCTCATTTTATATCTTCTTTGGAGAAATGTCTCTGCAAGTTCTTTGCCAATTGTTAATCAGATTATTATTGAGGAGACATTGTAAGAGGGTGGGATCTCTTAACATAATGTGTCATTAGCTCATGGTTATGGTGTTAGTATTTAATCTCCTGTGTCCGACAATATTATCCCTGCCCAACTAAAGTACTTCTCTCAAAAGTAACTTAAAGTCAAAGGAGAGAGTAAGAGAATATGTGTAGCTCCTGCTAACTGGTGATGGTCAAGAGCTTGCTAGTGAAATCCAAAAATATTTTTTTTTACAGTAAGTGAAGTTTGTCTTTATTTGTCTTAATTTACTTTTAATTAGTATATTACAATGTTAATATCAAGTCAATACAGAATTTATGGTATGGTATGGTATGTTTACCGGCAGCCACACAAATGACCCTACCAGTTAAGTCATGGGCCAGTTGACTCCCAAGGAAGTGTGGGGACGTGTTGCCACAGTGCCTCTCCGTTCCCCAGGTAGGAGCTGAAGCTTTTCAGGATGAGAAAGATGCTCCAAGGGCAGCAGAGTCAGAAAAGGGAGGCAAGACTGAAATACTAACTGTCCCCGAGCCCTCGATGATGGAGAGAGGGCATAGTAGTTAAACAACACAGTGGGCTCCTGAGACCAGCTGCTAAGGAAATGGGATTCTAATCTAAGTTTCACTTTTAAAATAAAGAATTCCTCTGTTTCATTTTCAACTACAGGTTTCACACCTAATCCTCAAACCGGTGAGGCAGGGCCTGGACAGGGCTGGGGAAAGCTGGGCAGAAAGATCAGGGAGGCTGCCCTGAGCAGCAGGACTTATGAGCCATGGGGGAAGTGTAGCCTTTGACTTTCAATGGTTTGAAGATCTCCCCAGTGACAAATGTTAACTTTCTGTAACTTACTCTGTGCCTGTGTTAGGAGAGAGATTGTTAATCATGACTCCCAGCTTTATTTAATTTGCACATCTATTCATTCTAAAATTACTGGGAGAATCCAGGGGCCCAGCTTTACTAGATCTGGGCGGGACAGGCCTATGGAACTTGGCTCCCACATTCCCCCCAGGGTGCCGGATATGCTAATTAGATTGCTTTGGTCATCCATAATATATACATGACAAAACATTACATTGTACTTCATAAATATATAATTATTATTTGTCAGTTAATGACAATAAAAAAGAGTTAGTCTCTGGCCTGGGACATGGTAGAATGGAAGAGCTGAAAATGACCTGGGGGCAACCCCTCCAGGCTGGAGAATGTCAGGCCTGGAATTGGAAGTTGCACGGCTGATGAGTATCCCACCCCCAATTCAAACTCCATCTCTCTTCCCTCCATATTAGAGCAAAGTCTTAATACTTGGCCACTATTAAGATAGTTAAGACTAAATATTTTGTTTTTTAAAAAAGAGGGAACTATTTAAATCTGATACTCCACATAAATATGGCGCACGCATTCAAGTGTTAAAGACGGACCTATGGAACGGAGACTCAGATTTTTAGGTAGGAGTATTAGAGAGCTACATGGTTCCTGAAAACTCTTACAGCAAAGAAAACAAATTCATCTAACAGAAGTCAGTGTTCAGGCAATCCCTGGAGGACTTTATTA